AACTTCTTTCTTTTGCATATTAAAGAGCACTTCTGTTCCATTATTAGTCACAAAGACAGTTTGCTGAATAATTTCCTTTGTTTGCAAGACTGCCATGACAATAGAAGAGAACATCTTGCAAAAGAAAAGAGGACTTAAAAATAATCTTTAAAAAATCTGTGCAACTCAGACCTTACTCAGGTACTCAATCTACACTTCCATGAATTAAATACAAAATACATTGCTGAGTTAGAAATATCACTTTGCATTACTTCAAAAATATACAAAGGAACAACGAAAGGTGAAAGAAACCTAAAAATAACATGGCCATATATTTTTTGCTTATATGTGACTTCTGTGTCACACAGTGAGTATTATACATATCAGAATATATTAAATAGGGTTTTTCTTCAGTTACAGCTCAATGTTGTAAACACTTATCACAAGTCTGTCTGGTCTGTAAAAACAGAACCTGAAAACCACCTTAATAAAAATATTAGTACATCTAAAACCAGCCAATTCCAAGTTAGACTAGCAGCCTAGCTACAGTGCACTACACAGCCAAGTAAGATACATTTTTCTGAAGTCTGATCTTAAGTTCCCTAAAATATTTTATGTACATAGCAAATGACCGAAGGAACAACTTAACATAACTCTCATTACTCTCTCAAAAACAGCATGTTAGGAAAATAGTCAGCAAAATGGCAAACCTTTAACTGAGAAATTTAAGAAAAACCCTGTTACCTCCTTCTGCTGTCAAGAACCCTAAGTGACTGAATCAAATGACACAGTCACTAACTAAACTAAGCAGGAATCTCCTTAGACAAGTCTTCAATTTGTATTGTCAGACAAGAAGTAAGAATTTGAATCTGTGTGTGTACATAAAACAAACTTACATTAAATAATAAAACCAAACAAGAACTTAATTTATAATAAAAAGCCAAAATATCTTTTTTCCTTTTCCACTTTCCAGAATTCAACAATGAATAAATACAAACCCACACGAACAGTTTGACCACTTTGCTATGTTAAACACACAAGTCACAAATTTCAGTGCTGTATTACCAAACTTCTGTAATGCCTGATCACACGTCTTCAAATTTCTATAGCTGGAAAGTGACTCGTTCTCTACTTTGCAGCTATGAGGTGTTATATAACTGCCACAATATATGCACATCTTCAGGACACATACATACCCTATATTTATGCATTTAGAAGAAACCTCTGTTTAAAAATACGTACAAATCAAGTTTCTAAGACTTTCTAGAAAAGCCTATCAAGTTTTCTTACTCCTGATCAGCTTTTTGTAGATTCTTCGCAAAAATGTACAAATCTGCTAATAGGAAACGGAACAAGCAAAACACCACTAAAGTACTGTAAATCTTCTAGTGCAGGCATCAAGTTGACCCACCACAGTCTATCTTGGGCAACTGTGAAGCTGCAACAACATTATGTGACACGTGAGCAGGCCCTGTGCTAGACAACCTAGTATTTCGTTAGCAAATTTCAGTTCTGTATCAATACTGTATTGATATCATATTTACACTAGAATTCAGATAATTTCAGGTATTCAGTTAGCATTATAACTGGTGCTTGCAAATTTTTGAGTCTTAGAAAGCTAAAAATAAATCTACAAACCAAATTAGTTTTATTTATTTCAGTAGAAGCATTGTTAACATCAAAGATGCTTTAATGATGCTTTTAAATGAAAATGTAACTGTTTTAAATGAGAACGCAATTGCTGTTTGCAGTCCAAGTACTGCAGCCTAAAGTTCCTAAAAAATTGAAGATAACAAACTTAAAAAAAAACCCTCCACAGTTTTGGCTATTTTCAGAAATGCAAAACTTCAAAAAAATTAAAAGTGACATTTCAAATTATTTTCATTGTAACAGCTGACTATTCTTAGAGCAGACATTTCCTTTTTAAGATTTGGGTTTTAAAAGTTATGCCTTCATGTGTGGATAAAAACTTTTCATTAACTAATTTGAGCTAGATGGTGTAGTCACACACAGCCCTGCAGACCTTTCTGGTCCCTTTCCACATTTCATCATCCAATACCCCAAGGTTCCTATTTTCCTAGCAAAAAAATGACTGGGCAGACAAGAAAAAGACAATTGAGGTATGTGTTACTTTACTAACCAGAAATAAAAATTTACCACCAGCAACAGGTGTTCTTCAAGTTGCATAATCCCCATGTAAATTCTAATTACACTCCATCACTTGAAACCGGAAAGTTTTCCTTTGCATTATTCATAGAAGACATGCTTGCTTGTTTGCTTTTCCGTGTTGCCTACCCAGTACAGGACAAGTAAGATGGAACATCGCTCTTTGTCATAGTAGTTGCTTCCCAACAAAATTATGTTGCTTCTCAACAACAATGTACTTGGAAGGACTATGAAAAAGCAAAGCACAAATGTACACTGGACATCCAAGAACTCTAGGTACTTACGCTGGCTATTTACTACTAATCTTTCTTCCAGAGGTCCCACATGGGCACTGTAACACAGACACCTGGCAGTTGTGGTTACCTATCACCTGGCAGAAAGCATCAGTGGCTTTCAGGCAAATAGCAAATGCAGAGCCATTTGGGCAAACACTGCACCAACTCTCAAAGCCTCATAGACAGCACTCAATGAAAATGAGTGAATGAATGCTAGGAATGCCAGGGTTACCATCCTGGTTCAACAGTCACACAGACAGCAGTGAAAAAGGAGAGGGGGACAGTGCAAACTTACCTAGCACCAGACAAGACTACAGGGAATTATCCACGTGCCAATGTGAATACCTAATTTATCCATCAATCATCCACAGTGAGCTCACGGACCAAAAAAAGTTTGGCTTTCACAGCACAGCCAAGAGATGGTGAAGGAGAAGACCTCAATGCCACAAAACTTTTCAAATCGATCCTGTATAAGCTTGAAATGAGTACCCAGTGGCATTAAGGACAGAACTGGAAGGTCTGATATGAGCATCCCCAGACTGCTGGCAGCCAGAAATTCTCAGCTTGGAAAGGCTTTCCTATTCTGAGGAGATCAATATGGATCTTGATCATGCACTGTGACCCTGGCAAACAAGCAGTCCTGGACAACTGGCAAATATAGTAATCCTTAAGAGCGTGGCCATTAGTCAGACAACAAAAACATCTTGAATGCGTATGAGATCATGTAGAGTCTTAGATAAAGTAACTAAAACACTACACAACTGGAAGATTTGTAGTACAACAGCACCTCAAGCAGGGAGAGCGGACAGAAAAGAATGCACCTGCTCCACACACTGCAAGGAGAAATTTGTCAGTTAACAGAGGCCCACAAGGTTAGAACACACATGGAAATTCATATGAAGAAAAAAGGAACCAAACATATTGGAGATATAAATGGCACTAAGGGGATTGTTCTCTTATAATCACACTTATCACTAGGTTAATTTATAACCACCAATGCTAAAACACAGGTTCCATACAACCATTATTTAAAAAAAAATGTTTATAATATCATATCAACAACAAACAGAGCTTAGAATCTAATAGTCAAACGTAATTTAGCTTCCTAGCAATAACATTAAAAACCATACAGCACTGCCTCCAATAATGCAGAAAAATTGTTTTTCTTAAAATCACTACAGTATCCTGAAATAAATAGGGATTAGCAAGATTAATAGATTTTGAAACTTTATTAGTAGGCTTCCTGAACTGCCAATGAGCTTCATAATTCAGAAACAAAACCAGAGCTTATTACAGAAGGAATACAGAGCACTGTCTGTACCAACTTATCCGTCAATGGAAAAACAGAGACAGCAATGAAGAAGGTTTTTTTAAACAAACACACCAAACACACAAAAAACCCACCAAAACATAATAAGGAAAAAGTAACCTCCCCCTCAATGAGAATGAAGCAATAAAAAAAAACCAAGAATGAAATTACTTACAGTTTAAAAAAGCATAAAAATATTTTTAATTATAATATTGTCAAACCACACATAACACTCATTCACTCTCTTAATAGATATTTGGAAAAGATGACTTGTGACCATAAAGCTATTTTTTACCTTAACCAGTAGACTCAATTCTAAGGGTGGGAGATGTTAAGTAAATGTTTCAAAAACACCTGACTTTACTAAAAACCCTTTAAGTTAATGCAATGGAAACTAAGCTCTGTTCAGAGGCCAAACAAAATTTCTTCCTACCAAGTATGATATGGTTGGACAATACTATTGAGCTACCACTTAGGTGTCAAGAGTCTTGCAGCCCTTCTTTCCAGCTGCACTTTCTTACTCCTTTCCATTTGAAAGCACTGTGACTCTTCTGACCTAACGGTGAGTCAATGCAAGGAACTAATCCTTGAAGAAACATTTTTTTTGTCATCGGTTAAGATTTTTAGATCAGAACAGAGATTCAGCAGCAATGCTGCAGAAAGGAGCACAGGGCTGGCAAAGGGGACAGAAAACAGAACTGTACTTAGTAATTATATCAGCCAAAGCTGTACTGTCAAACTCCAACTTCAGTCATTGTAACTCAGCCTTACATCTATAAAAGTCCTCTCTTGAGCACAGCTGTTTTTTGCTCTATCAATTACTGGTTTCATTACTGATACAGTTGTTTTCAAATAAATTTGAGTCATTATAGTCTCAAATGAAAACACAGGCAGAGATTACCAGTCCATTACATCAGTTGTTCAAAATACTGTCAAAACTTTCTACTACTACTAAAAATCAAATAATCCTACAAATATCTGGACAAGGCAAAGATCAAAGTTTTTGTGGTTTCCTATCACAGCTGAACAACATTAACAACTTCCATGTAACAGTGAATATTGGAAGAGTTGGAAAAGAACACTTTTCCTTCTTAAGAAAATTAAAATTTTATTTTCCAATTTCACACTTTATTTCATTATTTATTTTTTTTCATTCACAGTGTCAGTATCAAAGATTCTGCAGCGCCAAGATGCAACACTAAGATCCAGAAAACGTAGCAGATTTCTCACCAGTACTACTAAGAAGTTCACTTTCACAAATCATTGCTTACCTTTTCTAATGCAGATTAGCTCATGTACACCGCAAGTTCGTTCTCCACCTATGTGGAAATAAATCATTAGAAAATATTAACAAAATTTATTTGGCTTCTTAATAAGACTTACAAACAATGTAAGAGAAAAAGCTGTAAAATCATGTCATTTAATAAAAATGCAAAAGATTGATTTAGCAAGTTTTCAGTTTATACATTATATCCTTTGGAGAAAAAAATAAGTGTACATTTGTCTTAAGTTTGCTAATGATGGTGGAGTTTGAAGAATTTTACATAGAATTTATACAGATAAAATTACAAGTGCAAGCAAATTAACTGAAGCCACAATAATAGTTTCTAAGTATAAAACATAATTTCCTGTTCTGAGGGAACTACCATCTACAGAAGAATTCTCAAAATATCAAAAATATTTGTAACATAATAGAATGTCAAATAATGTTGTTATTATTATCTTCCACGGTAAAAAAAGAGAAAATCTATTACTAAAGGCTGTGTTTACCTGGAATTTCTCCTTAAGAGGTTTGGTGTTTTTTTTTTAATTTAGAACAGTTGCAGAGAGTTTGAGACATTTATATAAGAATAACAAAATTGTTGGTAGAAATATTAAGCTTTAGTTTACATTTACACATTTACATAAAAATCATTTTAATGTTAGAATTAGAGGCAATAAAAATCATTTTAATGTTAGAATTAGAGGAGTAAACAAAACACCAACACATAATATAACTAGTGAGGACAATGAAGGAATCCACAAAGGAAGGAGACTACATTCAATCATGTTGAAAGAGGAAGGTGGGACACAGGGACAGTACATGGCACAAGCTATTGCTAAGCCTTCTAGAAGGAGGAATAGGCACTTACAAACTGTTGAAGACATTCTTTTAATGGTCTCTAGAAACTATTGTAGAGTTGATTGTTTTTTGTTATGACTACTTTATATTGAATATATTTGCTGTACTAATGATCCTCTTCTCTTTTAAATTAATATACTTTGGAATGACATGCCCTGCATTCAGACCTTAGAATTCTAAACTACACCAAGCTATGGCCTATCTTAACCATACCTTAATGCCCACTAAGCCCTTTTCCACTGACAAGAGACTGCACATATAGGTATATGAATACAGAACTAAAGGGAACTGCCTAGGCTTTCATACCCAGTTCTCTGTAATCACATGAAAATACAAGACAGACAGTTCCAAAAACTCACAAAACATCTATTCCATATGATTAATCACTACAGGGCTCCAAACACTTCACAACACTCTAAAACAAAGGAATTCTTTTCATCTCAGAAAGGTGGAAATACATTATACAGAACTTATTACTCTCTTAATTCCATAATAAAGGAATTATGCCATATAATAAAGGATATTATGATATAAAATCAACTAATATTTAAACCCCATAGTTGATAACACGAACAGATGGTGGTGTAAAAGTTTTAAAAAGTTACCTGTATTGGTACGTAAATTTACATTTTAAAGAAATAACTGTAGGAAATGGACACACTAGAGGAAAAAAAAGGATTAAAAGTATCAAAAAAAAGGAGTAAAACATAGCTCTTGTAAAATAAAACTAAATGTCTGTGAAGTATGAAGCTAAAAAGAATCCTTGTTTTAAGTCACCACACTTTTTTTTTTCAAATTTATTGGTATGAAGTACAAGCCTCAAAGATACTCTTGAATGGGAAATCAAGTATCAACGAGTCTGATGATCCCATGAGTTTTGTACAGTCATCACCATTTCAAAACTCAGTTACAAGAGCAATATAACAAGTCCCTCTTTTCAGTGCATCACAGAAGTTGTCCAATATTGTTTTCATTCAGAAAACATTTTGGAAGAAAAACATAGGAAAAATGAAGTAAAAAAAAAAATAATTAAAAAATCTGGTTTTATGACAACAAGGCATTAAAAAAAAAAAGAAACCAAAACTTTGGGAGAAGACTACAAGCTGCTTTGAAGTCATGGTAATCATCTTCAGGCTACAAAAGAGAAACTAAAAGTGTGACTGAAACTCTTCTCCTTAGATTTTCTTCCCCCAGTAAACTTAAATTCAGCACTAAAGAAAGAATAAATATCACTGAAAAAAAATACAAGGATTTTCATTACACAGATGCTAGAGAGGTAGTTAAAAATTCACCTAGAAATGACTGAGAGAAGAACAGTGAGCAGCATTAGGTTTTAATTATATACTGCCCTCGGCAAAATGAACCAGCTTGAAATCTCATAAAAATACTAATTTTAGGTTTGGATTTTGCATTGCTACCTATTGTTTTCTAAAGAAAGATACCTTTTTTCAATCATTTAGATGTTAAAATATGATGGTGTTCCACTAAATAAAGCCTTTACATTAATCCTCATGTTACTTTTTATTGATCAGAAGACTACCTAATATATTCATACAATTTTACATGGTTTAATTAGGGATTCTAATTTTTTCTTATTTAATAGGTGATTAATCTCCTACTCTTCTTCCAAACTGCTTTTGGGTGGAAATCAAGTCAAATAAAAATACATCAAGTGATCTAGATGTTTTGAAAATAAAGTTGAAGAAAGCATCTTTTATTTTAAATTAATCAATTTATTAAACACATGAAATATTATCTCAAGTGGCTCGAGCAGATTCTTCTTTTCCCTAGTGCTCTTCACTATTAGTGTGGAACTAATAGACTATTGACACCTTGCTTTTACGCACAGATCAACAAACGAAAACAAGGTTTTCTGTCTTTCCAACTCCCAAGAAGCCTCTCAGCTTTGAATAACCTAGTCATTGAAAGAAACTAATCTGAAAATATGAAAACACAAAAAATTGCACATTTTCCATGACAGCAAGATGTCAACTGCTAATTTAGCATTTCACCTGGAAAGACAGGTTTTGTGTCAATTAGACCATAAATCCCAAAGGTTCAGTGGTATGACACTCTTATAAATTTTACAATCTTCAAATGTTACTTCAAACTAATTGATTTTAATATAGTGGTAGGTCACCATGCTTTTAGAGTTAAATAAAATTTAAATTTAATTTAGATACAAATTATTATTAATTCTATTTCGTCTTGACTATGTACATCATCTCCTGTTCAACAATTTAAAGTTTGAAGTGAGCTTGCATATAAAACCACATAATACTTTGTCCAAAATATAATCTGAGAATACAAAAAAACCCACCCGAGGACATAAAGCTTTTCATAATTTCAGACAATGGAAATAAAATAAGAAATAATGAAAGATGAAGCAATTTTAGAATTGCTCATTTGACAAAACATTTCCATTTTCTTGAGCAAGAAGGACCACCTCGTGGCCCAAAAATCAAAATCATTCGAACATTTAGCACAAACAGAATAGCCAGATGTTTTAGAGGCAGCTGAAACACCTGATGAAGTTTAATTTTCTCAATTTAAGACAGAGATTTTATATACCAAGTCTCTGCCAAGATGACTACCGCACCAAAAAGATGAAAAGTTAAAGAAGATAAAGCACCACCTGAATTTTGTACTCATTAAGTTGTAAAGTTTTATCTCTTTCTAAAACTAGTACAACTCAAAATTCAGGGTTCTACTATGTTTAGACTATGGCTGAAATTCCACTACTAGGTGCTGGAAATAATTGGCTAGGAAATTTCACACAGGCATTATCATAGAGTGATTTAGGTCGGGATCAACCTCTGGTGCTCTGAGAGACTTCAGAGCAGGAACACCTGGTTCCTGTGGGCCTCAACCAACCACATTCTGCAAGGACGAAGGTTCCATGACCTCTCCAGGCACTACTGGTTGCGAGGGGAAGGCAGGGAAGGTGTCACCCCCTCACAGTGAGCATTTCTTCCTTTCCTTTGATGTAGCTCAAGTGCGTTGCCTCATGTACATGTTGTGCACCTGAAGAACTTATCTCCATTTCTTAGACCCCCTTATGTAGTGAAAGGCTGCAATAAGTGTCCCCTTCAAGTTTCCCCAGACTACACACACTATTTCCGAGCCCTTCCTCATGTGCCACATACCCCAGTTCCCCTATCATCTGAACAGCATGCTTCTGGAGTCTCTCCAGTTTGTCAGTCTCTCTCATACCAGGTTAACATCACTAGATACAGGGTCAATCTACATTGCTGCAGAGGCACATGGCTGGTCGATGTTCGACTTGTTGCACACCAGGGCTCCCAGGTTCTTTTGTGATGAGCTGCTCCTGGCCAGTCCGTCCACAGCTGGTACTGCTGCACGGGCTTGGACTTTTCACTTGTCCTTGTTAAAGTTCACGCATGCCCTTCAGCCCATTCTTTCAGCTTGCTGAGCACCTGCCAGATAGCAGCCCTGCCCTCCAGCACATTAACTGCTCCCCTATGTAGCATCACCCACAAACTCAGCGAGGATGTGTTCCATCCCTTCAACAAACAGGTCACACAGTTTCAGTTCCAGCATCAATACTGCTGTGCAACTTAGGGTACTGCATATAAAATACATTATTCTTCAGTTCAGCAACAAATCCATGTTAGTAGCTGCACCAGAATGTTACACTGTATCACAGATGTCTTTGTCATCGGGCGTAACTTGGGACTTACTTTTTATATGATAAATTACTTTCCTGCTGAGTATTGTATTTTAATTAGCATTTTCATAAGTTTGGACTACATTCAACAAACACTCAACATTTTATTCAATGTTAGACAACTATTTTTTCCCTTCACAAATCTGTGAAATTCCAGTGCAGGATGACAATCCTGCACAGGTTGAGTAGCACAAACAGGGTGAGGGGCACAGCATTCATTGCAGCCCTTGAGAGCCCACCGTGTCAAATTGCAGAGGAGCAGCTGCTGCCCACGCACAGCGATGGCAAGGGACGTGCGTTTCAGCAGAGCTCCTTCTCTCCTGCTCTGTGACCACACGTCAAAGTCATAGTCAACCTACAGATCACAGGTAAGGCTGGCCACCTGCCTCAAGCAGGAAGGATTGTCAGACGAGAAGGAAACAACAGTGCTGTGCAGCAAATGCACAAAATAGAAGTGTTATGGTGCAGAAACATAAAATGGGATACAAGCAAAAAAGCCTACCCCACTG